TCCGGGCCGTACAGCGCAGCGGGGTGGCCGGGCTCCGGGGCGCGCTCGCAGAAGAGGCCCAGGCCGGCGCTGCGCTCGAGGGCCGCGCACGGCCGGTAACTCTGCACCAGGTGCCGCAGGTCGGAGCCCGCCAGGCCGCTCCACGAGTAGGGCTTGAAAGGCAGGGAAAAGGGCTGGGCTTCGTCCAGAGACGGACACAACGACTTCTCCGAGGCTGCAGAAGCACAAGAAGGCTTCCGGTCAGGGTTGAGGCCGCGGGGCGGAGTCTGCCGCGTCCGCTTCCCGGCGCGCTGGCGGCGGGGCCCGAGCGCGTGCAGGACTCGCCGCGCAGGAGCCGGGCCGGGCGCCGGCGACGCCCCTCGGGCCAGCGCAGCCCCTCGGGCCCAGCTGGCGCGGGGCAGGAAAGCAAACTGATTGTAAGAACGGACAGGGTGAGAACACAGGTAAATCATTTGAGGGGAGCGGAAGTGCCTGGAGTTAGAAGAATCTTCTCTGGCAGGGCCCACACATCTGGCGGTCCGACGGGGAAAAGCGCGTCCGTGAAGGCTGTGAGATGAGAGATGGGGAAGGCGGGGCCCTTGGGTCCCAACCAGCGGTTAGAGGGCAGAGGGTCCAGTCTCCGGCGCCGGCACTCGCTAGCCCCTAACGTTCCCCCTCAATCTCTTTCCTTCCTAGAATCGATGGTGAAATAAGGCGAGGACCAAAAACAAACAAAAACAAAAACAAACAACAACAAAAACCAAGCCCAAAACTACTGCAGACATATTTGTCTGAAAAAAACAGAAGGCGTGGGGAATTTCTCAAAGTTGTGAAGTGCACAGGACAGGCAGCAAGAAAGGGGCATCCAGTACTTATTTCTGTTACATCTTTTTTTTTTTTTTTTTTTTTTTTGGTTTTTCTCCGGTACCGGGAACTGAACTCACGACCTTGCCAGGCAGGCGCTTTTGCCGCTGAGCTAAATCCCCAGCCCCCTTCTGTTACATCTTGATGGGGCACAGATGAATTTCCAAGAGAATAATTTTACAATTAAGGAGATCTAGTCACCACCTTCAGGACAGCTTTCTGATCCCACCCCTGTGAAGTTCTCTAAAACTAGACGTCCACCGAATCCGAGTGCATACGCAGTTACAAAACTGCTCACACGCACACGCCTGCACACTCCTGGCCAGGCTGCAGTGAGAGGCTGCACCCCTAGTTTCCATGGGGGGGGGCACCAATCCTGGCTGGGTGGTGCCCTGCAGAGCCATGAAGAAGCCTCTGCCGCTGACTTCCAGACCCACTCGCTGAAGCTGCCGTTCTCTTCAAGCAAACCACTGAGTATGGGCTGGGGGTTGTCTTTTAAAACTAATAAATGTAGTCTGGAAATAACCGGCCTTCAGCACAACTGGGCAGGTTTGCGCCTTCCTTACACCGCCCGGAACCAAGTCTCTTCCCCCATCCGACATGCTGTTACTTGGTATGCAGGAAACTCGATTGCGCTCTGGAAATGAAACCCAGCGAGCTGGCCCTCGAAGCTAGGCCATCTCGGCAGAACGAAAAATGAAAGGAGCCCCCGGTTTGCGCCGGCGAAGACCGCGCCGCAGGCTGAGGGTTTGCTCAGAGACCTCCCTCTCGCCCGGCGCTCAGCGCTTTCAGCCAAGGTTGGGTCTCCGCCTCCGTTTGTTTGAGGCTGGGGTTTGGATTCTGAGATCCTAGCACCTTTAAAACAGTCGAGTCTGATTGGAAAAGAAACGTCGGTGGGTTTTGTTTTCTTTTGAGACCCCTGGTTTGTTTTCCCTCACAGACCAGCTCCGCGCACACGCACACGAACATTCCCAGGGTCCCGCGGCCGGGATGCAGAGGGCGGGCTCGCGGCGTGGCGCTCCGGCCCGGGGCCGCCGATGCTTCCCCGCGCCCCCCCCCCCACGAAGAAGCCCGGGCCTCCGGGGACCTCTCCACCACCCCCTTCGCGTTTCTGCCTCCAAGGTCTCTCCAGTTCCCCGCGGGCCCTGCCGCAGGAGCCCCCCACCGGCCCTACCTGGGGACGCGGAGGGCGAAGGCGGCCTCCACAAGTCCTCGAACTCGGAGCCCGGGTCGCAGACGCTGCCCTCGCAGCTGTCCGGGGACGCGGACGCCCTGTCGGGAGCCTCGGTCCGCTGAGATTCGGGGGACAAACGGCCCCGGGGCTCCGCTTTCGGCTCGCCTGCACTCGAAGTGCGGTCTGGGGAGAAGAATCAGGAGATGAGTGCGGCTGAGTGGATTGAGCCCGGGGGTCCTGCAGTGCCCCCAGCCCATCGTGGCGCCCGAGCGTCCTCCTCGTCCTCTCGGACCTGACTAGGAGCCTTCCCAGATCAGAGGGTGGGCGCAGGGAGGTGCAGGCGCCGAGGCGACAAGCTCAGGAGGAACCAGGTCAGTGGGAAACAAGACACACTGGGGGGCTCTCCCTATCCCCGAGAACGAGGCGGCCGGGTGCAGAGTCGCTGTCCCGAGGGGCGGCCCCACTGCCCGCGCGCCTCGCACCTGCTCGGCCGGGCGCCGGGGCATTCTCTAAACGCAGGGAGTAGTCTGGCCCCGGGGAGCGCGGCTGGTGGTAGCTGTGAGCCTTCTTGCTCTTGACGAGGAAAGAGCGCGGCATGGTGGCGCGCCGCCTTCCCCGGCCCGCTCCGACGGTTCCCGCAAGCCGCTGCCCACGCGGTCCCTTGCAGCGCTTGTTCGGCCTCGGTCTGGCAGAGATCTGAGAGGAGGGGAGAAGAAGGTGCAAACGCTGGCCACAGCCCTCGGGGCCAGGACTGGGCACCCAGACGCGGGGACAGCGGCGGCCAGGGAGGGGCGCAGCCGGCCGCGGGGGAGGGGCTTGGCCCCCGGGCCCGCGCTCACCAGGTGGCACTCGGACAGGTGGCGCGAGCTGTCTGCCGCGGCACTGCCAAGCGCTCAGCGGTAAAACCTGTCGCGGGCCGGATCGGCCTTTCCTCCGCTCTCCACGCCCCCGGCCCCTCCCCTCCCAGCGAGGCTCTGGCCGCGCTCTCCCGGGAGGCCTCGACCCCAGTGCGTCCGCGACCTCCGCTCCACCACTCGCTGTCTGGATTTGGGGCTGGGGACCGAGGGCTGGGAGGCACGGATCGTCTCAGGGGCCGAGGACTCAGAGGGCGACGCGCCAAGCCCTCCGAGAGCCCGCCACTAACGGAAGTGAAGGAGGGGTTGAGCGGGCGCGCTTAGGTCGGACTGAGGGACCGGGCTGGACGCGGACAGCAGCGCAGGGACTGCAGGCAGTGAAGACCGAAGAAGGGAAGCGGGAGGGCAGAGGGACAGGAAGGAGAACGGGTGGCGGCAAAGGACCGAACCGTGGTCCAGGTGAACCCGTGGTCCGGGTGATCTTGCTCGTGCCCGCACAGGGAAAAGTTGGCCAGCTATGGTGGGCATTGGCCACCGAGACACCCACGACCATGGAGGTCTAACCTCGAAAACCAGGCCCCAGGAAAAGGACTTTCTTTTCTGCTCACCAAAAACTGCGTCCTAGGAAAGGAAGTCGAATTCGACTCGCGCGCGGTCACTGGGGGACGCGCGATGTCCTGGGTCCGCGGAGCACCGACGGCTTGGAGGACACGCGAGATGGACGCCAGGCGCCTGCGCTGCTAGGGGCCAGAAAGCCGGGGTCCGGGAGCCGGCTGTCAGCAGCGCCCGCTCTCATTAGCCCCCAATCAGTTCGCCTAATCTCAGGTCGAAACCTGAGCCCGGCGGGGAGGCGGGGCTGCGACTGCTGCGAGCTCGGGGCAGGCTCGGGGCGGGACCCCGCCGCCGCGAGGTCCGGAGTAAACGAATCTGCCTCCTTCTCGGAAGAGGACTTTGGGGGTCGGCTGCCCATACGAGCTGCAGCCCCTTCGGGCACAGCAGGTTTTCCGAACGAAACCGGGGCGCGCGGGAGTCCAGGCAAGGGCAGGGCCCTCGGTCCTCCGGCTTTGCGCCGTTTAGATTGCGGGACGTGGACCTTTCCGCCCCAGGGCCAGATGCAGGACGCAGCTGGAATTTGTCCGTCTATGCACTCTAACCAAAACGAGTCCTTCGGGACTCGGTCTCTGGAAGGCGCGCGCCCCCTGCTCCAGACCCCGGTCCTACTCTGCCTCCTTCCCAGAGGACTGAGTATGTCTGGGAGAAGAGATGCCGCGACTTGCCAGGCGCCCGGAGACGCTTCCGGATACCTATGTGGCAGAATGGCCCAGCCGAGGGTACTGCCCGCCTCCGCCTGGTTGGCTCCCAGGAGCCAGGCGCTGTTGCTGTACTTTTTCCTGCACCCTTGGTCTGTACAATTAGACCCACAAGTGCAAAAACCAGCCATGAAACTTGGAAGAAAAGGAGAGCAGAGTGAAGGGGCCGCCTCTGGCTTGGACCCGCAGGACTTAGTGGGGAGCTGGAGAGCTGTCCGCCCCCGCGCTGGGTCCCGGCTAGCGGGGCCCGCACGGGACGAGGTAGCCACGGGGCAGCCTCCTCACCCGGGTCACAAACCCACGCCTCTCTCGCACCCTGGCCGGCTCTGCTGCTCCCGGGGGTGCGGGAAGTGGCAGGGGTAGGCAGGAGGTAGGGCGAAGGGCCGGGTGTGTGGGAAGGCGACCTCGCGCCGCAGCTGGCGGCCAGGGGCGGGGCGGCGCCATCGCGCACGCGGCCCGCGGGCCCTCTCCTCGGGGTCTGGCCCGGGGAAGGCGGGAGCTGAAGGCGCTCGCGGGAGGGGGCGGCCTCCTGAGTGCAGCTCCCCCGCCTTCCCACCAGATGTTTCCTTCCCGGGTGATCCCACTCCCCTGCAGAGCCACCAGACTCCTGGCGCGCGCCCCACTCCGAATTCCCAGCCCGCTGCGGGGCTCGCGCCCGAGTCGGGCGGGGGGCGCTCTGGC